GAAGGGTCCATAGACCCTCGTAATTGGCCCTTTGGTTAGGTGAGGGGGCGTTAGATATTATTTGTTAAATATAACAAAAAGTTGTGTGTCTGATTGGTCCAAATGCTACACCGCACTCAGCTACATCTCCATGAAAATCAGCGCACAACAATCGCTTTGGGTCTATTGTGTATTGAGCCACAGCTGTACTTTGTCCATTTTGTTGGTTAATGCTCAGACATTGGTTCAAGTAGTTTTCAGTTTTCACATCTTTTAGGCTATGTTTACACTAGTGCGTTTTTGCATGACGGTAAATGATTTGTATGTGATTTTCATGAGATTCTGCCTATTTTCTTAATACAGAGTGTTTATGTAAGAAATGCTAAGCAGATGTAACAATTAGCTTGACATAAAAGGCTACAAATAACATATTTCAGCAACATTATATGGCCAAAACACATATTAGAGCGCAGTCTGAAGTTATTACAAACACTAGATGGTGGTTTTCGCTCGTGTGGCATAGACCGAGATCTATTCTGAAGCGCAGCGGAAATGCCAGTATGGACAAGGATAGTTTGCATTTAAAAATGCCATTTTAAAATGAAAACGCACTAGTGTAAATGTAGCCTACATCTATGAGGGTCAGATGCTCACACACTAGAGCCTCACGTGTGAGCCGTCTCTGGGCATCGGCGTAAACTAGTAGATGCGCAGACCAATCGGTGTATGACAGCAAAGTACCCTGAGCAGATGCTCCGCAAGCTTTCGAATCACTCTTGTGGTACATTGATGTCAAATGCCGATCATCCAATTTACCTCTGTGTCAGGTCAAACACACCTAATGCTTTTTTTGCTTGACCCCTTAGGTATCAAAATTTAGTACCGAATGACAAGACATTTTTCAATACTCTATGGTATAGAGGCAATGCGGTCGGTGCCTAAAAAGTATTGAATTCGATACCCAGCCCTAGTTATAAGGGGTTTGCTAACTAACTTAGGTGTGTCCTAAAGAAAGTGCCAAGCTAAAAATATTGAGAGGTTCTGAGATTACATGCAACACCGCTTACAGTAGTTTAGTACAAATAAGATCTAGTAGGATAGCTGCTGATATAGACAGCTAATTCCTCTCACGCAAGTGCAGAAAGCACGTGTTATGCTGCCTTCACGTGCTATCGGAAATTTCCTATTTCCCACTTATGAAGTTGTGATTACGAGCTTGTCGTATTCAAGTGCTTTAATGTCGGAAAGAATCAAATGTAGCATCCCATTGGTTGACAATCATATAAATATACACAGCGCTATACATGCAGTTTGCTGACAATCCTGGACTTTTGGTCAAATACGTGCTTATTTCACTGCTTATAAAACATACAATATGATCGTTCATATCTAGCCTATAAATACACTACTTTAGCGACAAGACAAAGGGATGTAGTTGTTGTGAGAACAGCACTGACAGCAGCAATGGTTGTCCCCTCCACCACGTTTAAAGAGTATGACCCGCTCAACTCAGAAACTTCTGGTATCAAAATTATTTCAGAATTTCCCAGTAGTAAATACGACTTGAGAGGTCGTTCACGTCCAATTTCCGATTAGGAAACTCGTATTTATGATAATTCCGATAGCACGTGAAGGCAGCACTAGTTTGCAGCGGTGTGTTCAAGCGCAGCTTTTTGGTTCAGATCAACAACACAGTCGGCTTTCAACACTGATAGTTCTTTGAAGTTGGCTTGATGTGTCCCGGCTTTAAAAGCTTTAATGTTGCTTTTCACATCTTTTGCTTTGTGGCTTCAAACTGTGGTTATCTTGTATTTGTCTTTTTTTGCTTTAGACCTGCTAGTGCTGAAAGAGGAGAATCAAGATCCGAATGAACTGGAACAGACAGATCAGTATGAGAAACACCATGATTTCATAACTGGTGAAAAAGCCACACAGACTAAAACGGCTTCTATACGAAAAAGAGCTCAGAAAACCAAATCTAACAGCTCTTTCACCTGCCATCATTGTGGAAGGAGTTTCGATGAAAAACAAAAACTTAAAATGCACGTGAGAGTTCACACTGGAAAGAGACCATTCCCCTGCCAACAGTGTGGAAACCGTTTCACTCAAAAAGCAGCCCTTCAAAATCACATGAGAACTCACTCGGGAGAGAAGCCATTCACCTGCCAACAGTGTGGAAAGAGATTCACTGAAAAAGCAAACCTTCAAAATCACATGAGAACTCACTCGGGAGAGAAGCCATTCACCTGCCAACAGTGTGGAAAGAGTTTCACTCGAAGCCTTATACATGCAAACAGTGTGGAAAGAGTTTCCCTGCAAAACAAAACCTTAAAATCCACATGAGAGTTCACACTCAAGAAAAGCCTTACACCTGCCAACAGTGTGGAAACCGTTTCACTCAAAAAGGATCTCTTAACAATCACATGAGAACTCACTCTGGAGAGAAACCTTTCACCTGCCAACAGTGTGGAAAGAGTTTCGCTCAAAAACCACACCTTCAAATACACATGAGAACTCACTCGGGAGAGAAACCTTACACTTGCCGTCAGTGTGGAAAGAGTTTTACACAGAAAAGCACCCTTCATTCCCACATGAACATTCACACTGGAGCGAAGCCTTATACATGCGAACAGTGTGGAAAGAGTTTCCCTGCAAAACAAAACCTTAAAATCCACATGAGAGTTCACACTCAAGAAAAGCCTTACACTTGCAAGTATTGTGGAGAGAGTTTCACACATGCATGCACCCGTAATTACCAGATGAGAATTCACACTGGAAAGAAACCCTTCAAATGTGCTCAGTGTGGAAAGCGTTTCATATGTAAGGTAAGACTTAATTACCACATGAAGACTCATTCGGCAGAGGAATGCTGTAAATGTGCTCAGTGTGGAAAGCGTTTCAGTCATAAATGTAGCCTCAATATTCACATTAAAAAACAACACACTCGAGAGAAGCCTGTGGGAAGAGCTTCTCATAAATAGAAGATCTTAAGATTATCATGAAATATGCGTGGAATCATGTGAAGAAACCAGTAACACTTTACTTGAAGGGGTGTGCATAAGACTGACATGGCACCTTCATAATCATGACATGACACATGTC